AGTCACCAACTACGAGACTTCAACATTTCGACGTCCAGTTGGCTAATTCTTTTAGGAATTAATCTGCACTACGGTCAGGAATGGGATATAAAAGAAATGAAGTCACCATCTTGGACTATGCATTCAATTCTGCAGCACAGACGTTCGCACGCTTCACTTTCATGAGCGAGTGCTTCAATGCTACGAACGGTTAAGCTTTTCTTGAGGTAGATGCCTATGCCATCTCTTTAGCGACTTCGTCTGTTTCTCCCTTGCACTTCAGAGTTTGGCACGTTATCTTGGTTATCATTGACATTGGGTAAGATTTATGTCTCCGTGATGATAATTACATTCGGAGTTTATCATATTATCTATTTCAGTAAAGTTGCAGGTGTTTACATAGTACTATGATGCTTCCGTGGCCAACCTACAGAAGTTTCGGGATCATTCAACTTCGAATTTTAACAACCCGACAACCCTAAATCGCCGTCTTGCCAAAGTTCCATTGTAGGTAAAATTTATTTTGACAAAATCTCACAGTAATATACAGGAGTATTTACTGACGACGTTTCGAGCACGACTGATTGCTTATAAACATACTAAAGTACTTTCTATTTTCGTTTACATTATTCCGTTATTTTTCATCTCTTCATTTGTTTGGTAGGAGTTTTTCTCCATATTCCCTGTATGAGTGATGGAACACTCCTATTATATGTGTTGGTTGTAAACTTGATGAACAAGGATTCAGCAATCAGTCTCTCTCTCCACCTTCCTATATCACTCTTTAGAATGTTGACTCTGTCTTACTATACTGTGCGTTTATGTGTTATTGTATGCAGTGCAATGGCTGAAGTGTTTTTCCAAAATATTTATCTTCGTGGGATCAGTCATTCTTACTTCAGCTAAATTCTCATGTTCCGACAATCTTACTACTCCTGATCTACTAGCTTGACCTATGCAGTTCACATGACTCACAGTCATTGCAAGGTATTTAGTGAGGTATATGATGTTTAATTGGGTCATCAAAGTCCTTTAACCTACAAAGCTTGTGTCTCAATGAGTTTGTAGGTTTAAATGCTCCTGCTTTATTCAGAATCCTACTTAAAGTCTCAGACGTCACCACCTTATTTAATAAAGCCGTAAATGCCTTATATTGTGTCTCATTTAAGTTATCATTACTAATTTCACAATTACTTTTGTTTCACTTTTGGCCTTCAGTGATCTTCCTAGTGAATTTTTCAGGATAGTCATCTGATACCAACGCTTCTTTAATGTATTTTAGGTCTTTTTGTGTGCTACTTTACGTTACCACTAACCCTGCATTAACAGTTAATGCATGTATGAGATGAATTCAAATCTAAATATCTATTAGAATGCGTAGGTGTTTCATAAACGCTAGTGTGCAGTTTACTTTCTTCTATTTGTTTTATTTTACAATCTAGCATTGCTAATTCTCTTTGTTCGTTTTCCGATTCAAATGTGAATTTTATTCCCTTTACTGGTGAGTTAATATGTGCCAAGAAGCTAGGGATATGTTCTGTTTTTAACACTGTGAAAGTGCCATCTGCATATCTTCGGCTTATTTCTGGAGTAGGAGTAAACGTATTAGGAGCATTACTTCCCCAGCTTTCCATATATATATTTGCTACGATAGGGGATATTGGTGATCCGATTGCTACACCTTCAGTTTATCTAAATATTTAGCCATGAGACTTAAAGATGGTAGATGTGAGGCAAAAGTGAATTGCTAAAATAATTTTCTCAATGAGCAGATTTGTCCGATGACTAAGTTTTGGATCAGAATTTAGTTCTCTTTGCACCGCTTCAAAGTTCATCTCAATTGTTACATTAGTGTAAAGACTAATTATATCATTATTTTTTAGTTGAAGATGACATAGCTTCATACTATGCCTAGGATTTCCTAATCTTAATCATTACTGTATCCACAGGCTTGTGAATTTCCTCATATGTACTCGTTTTATCATGTTCAGTGACAATTACTATTCTGTAAACTCAGAAATAATTAAAAAATTGCCTTGGTCCTGAAAGGAATCATAGTAGGTTTCCGAGGGATTCAAGTTATGTTTGAGCTACATTTCTGTGAGATCATTTTGTGTGTTGTCGGAAACGGATTAAATTTAGGCAAACAACAAACGTAAATATAGTAGGATTCCATAAATTCATTAAATTTTGGTTAAACTTCAAACTAAATAATACTAATGATAATAATGTCCATAATATGAATATAAAAATGACTTAGGGCACCACTACTCATTAAGGATGATGTCAAATGAATGAAGGAAAATAATAAGGTAGAATAAATTTATAGGAATAGTAATAACAGTTATTAAGAATGGTTAACTGACATAGTGGATTCAGATTGACCACGATTTTCTTCTATACACGACGATTAAGTTTAGAAGCCACAATTCCAAAAGCCACCGCATTTGCATGCATATGCCTTTTTGTTCATTTGATGACAGCAGTGAAGGACTGAACAGAGTCAGTATTAAGTCACTAGTCTACAAAACCCTTTGGTCCTGCTACTTTTGATGGTTTTACTGATTTACGCAGTTTGAAGAATGGAAAATTAGCGATCGCTGCTTCTTAAATTCTTGAAACTGTCATTCTCAGCACAATTAATTGTACATTTGTCAAGCGTTACCCTCAAATGAAGAGTGACATTTGCAGCTTTCTTAAAAACTGATTGGATATTTGCACTGAGTCTTATTTCTTTACTAAGTTTATTGATGAATCACTCACGGTATGCTTACTGAAATAAGAATACCTTCAGAGTATATGATTCATATTCAAATGAACTGTCATGAAAAAGTTTGCGTGCTCTATTCAGATTATGTTCTTTTTCTTCTGAGCTCGTGTATTTATCACGATTTGCATGTTACTGCCTGAATGGTTTACAGTTTATTTTGTAAAAATTTATTACAATGTAGTCTCTGTGCGCTACATAGTGACGTTTATTCAACTTCAGTGCGTTCACCTTAGAGATAAATTTTTTTCTGAATAAGTGCATTCAAGGCAGTGATGTCAGTGCATCACTGTAGAATCAAGTAAGCTAAATATAAAAAGTATTAAAATCTCAATCATTGTTTTAAATCAAACTGAAACCTGAATATGTTTATGAGTGGACCCGTTTGCACCTGGTTATTAACATTTCTGGTGCGACTTTGCTCTGCAGGGATGAAAGAAAGGTTTCACGTATGATTTGAAATAGAGTACCTTGATCAGAATATCATTCCAGTTTTTTTGAATTAGAAGTAAAGATTTCTACATTCTCTGTAAATCTCTTCTGCATACAAAACAAATGAACGTAAATATATAATTGAGTTGCACTCATCATGGCTAATTCATTCCATAACTATAACCGACTTCATTGATTATTGAGAGTGAACACACAGGCTGCACAGCTGCCCATCACGCATATATAGTTTGCGTTTCGACCTCCACCTTTGCGCTCCATAACCTCACTAAGCTAGTCATAAGGCCAATGAATCAAGTGGGTCGAAAAGAAGGCTAGCAACCCCATCCCTTAGAAATCAAAGTCACCGCTACCGCAAGTTCAAAGCCCTAGCTTAAAGCCCTGTATTCCACTGGGAACGTATTGATAAAAAGATATAAGATGTAGTACGTTCTGTATGTGGAAGCACAAGATGCGTACTAACCGGACGACTTAATAAGCAAAATAGCGAATTACCACAAATCCTATTTGAGTATGGGATTATTCTTCGTTTAATGTCGAAAAAAGGCACGTGGTTATCACTGAATGTTGTAAACACCAAATTCATGCAGAATTCGATAATTTTCAGTCTTCTTTCCAATAGTATTTGGATTTTAATATCAATATTGCAACGTATGATTATCATTTACTGTAGTACTCATGAATCATACTTATATTTCCTACAAGTTCAGATGTACATTTCATTACCAAATCAGACCAACACCGAGGGTTTCAGCAAAGATATATTTTCCGCGATTTCATCCTCATAACCTGTACAATTAGATTTATATGGATGCGTTTACATAGCAACAGTTGTTGTTTAACCTGACGTATAAACGAAGGAGATAAAATTTGGTGTTATGTTTAACTTGATGTGAAGTGATGAAGGAATTATTATTGATTACTACTAGAAAATATATGCGATAAATGCAAAGGAATTTCTCTCAAAGAATACAGGCGTAAAACAGGTGAGCATGGAAGCAAATCAACCCTGAATTTACCTTTTTTGTTTCCTCATTACTTTCACTCTTCACAATCTGTTTTAAATAACTGTGACTTATTTTTTGTCTTACAACATCCCTTTTACAAATCTGTCTTCACTGTAAAAACTATATCTCTCTAATGTGCTGTTTTTCTAAGTAAAACGTAATACATGGTCAGTTGACATCAGTCACATTTTCTCTTGAATTTGGCGTGGTCGGCAAAACGGAATGAAAACATATCGCACGTGGTGATGCAGTTAAAGACGAGAACTTCATAAAAATTTATTAGTCCCCAATGGTCAGAAAGATACTCCCGTTTCACTAAAGAATATACAACACAAACTGATGATGCCCACTTAAAACCACACGACTGCTCAGCCTCACACAGTGAATAGCTTATGGTCATCAAATAATTTTCTTCATTGGATGTGAAGATTATCTCTTATTGTTATCTTATTTTGTTGCGTATTACCATGATTGTTAAAGTTGTTCGAATATTCCTTTCTAACGTTGAATTAATTTGGCTAACCTCACTCAGTCATATACGCGCGCCACGCTTTCTTCTACAGGACGCACTAACTTATAAAAATTAGGAAGATCAACAAGGAGTGAATCACCCTCAATGAGAAAATTGACAAAATCGTGGAAAACACTGCTTTATTAATTACTTTATTTATTTATCAGTTTATCCTCAAAATTAGAGAGGTGAAGTGTCCGTTCTGACACACTGGGATCTAAACATCTGTAAAATACTTGGTGTATAGTGCAAATTGCATGATACGCTTTGAATGAGCCAAATGATATCAAAGTCGTTTCAGGAAGCTAACGAAAAGCAGAGCCAGCTGAAACAAACGAAAAAATACATATGACAAATTGAATGTACATATTTTCAATTATATTTTGTTTATCTTGCTGAATGGATAACAATTCATAAATTGCATTTTTAATTCTTATGATTTCAGAACTGTTATATTTTCAACCAGGATTTGAACCCTGATCAATTTCAAATTTGCTTCTTTTTCATATACTTTGTGCACTATAAGGAACGAGAATCAGCAGTCAGACACTAATGCGTACTCAGAATTTCATAAAAATAATTAAATCAGAGGTTTGGACTTACATTAACAACAGCAGTGTTCCAAAAGCCCCCGGCCAATACAGAAAATAGTTCCTGAAATAATATGATAAGGTAAATATCATCCAGAATGCTTACCATGGGCTGTAGCAGATTGAATACGTGCCACTTCAAATTCCATTACGGGTAAATGTTTTTTTGATAAAGTCTCACAGTGTTATACACTAATGTTTACTGATGACGTTTTGAGCACAATTTATTGCTCATAATCATATCAAGGTAATCACACGACTTCCTAGCTTCATTTATATAGTTCCATTATTTTTCAGAGAATGTCATTCCTAACATAGAAGTAGCACTAAGTTAAATAGATAAGACGGCAGCAGAAGAGGTTAGAGCACAATGTGCACTAACCCTGAAAAATCAAAAGAAACCAAAATCAAACTTAACAAAATCGGAAAGAGAAGCTTTAATTAGTCTAAAACAGGATAAAAATATTGTCATCGCAAAAGCTGACAAAGGAAACGCCACCGTAGTTCTGGATAAATCTGACTATATCAAAAAAGTTACTGAACGTATTCAAACAGGTCCATATGAAGAAATTAAGGAGCCCGCAGACACAATAATGAATAAGGTTAAGAAATCTACAGCAGAACTTATACGCAGAATAAAGCCGTCACTAGGTGAGTCAAAATGGTTTAATTTAATGCCTAAAACTAATAATGCTAGTAGAATATATGGTACTATTAAAATACATAAGCCAGGTTACCTCATACGACCAATAGTAGATTTTAGAAATACCCCTACATATGAATTATCAAAACACCTAGCTTGTCGGTGGCACAGTGGTTAGGACTCTCGCCGACCATGCACATGGTCCGAGGTTCGAGCCCACGCCGACGCTCACCTGATATCTCTGGTCGGCCCTCGAATTTTGAGCTTCCGATATCCACGATGAAAATTCAACAATTGTACCAAAAATACGGTGTGGAATCAACTTATGCTCAAAAATTAAAAAAAATTATATTATGCCCCATCAGAAATCGTTCAGATTCTAGACTAACTAATTCATATGAGATGAAAAATAAACTAAACGACATTCAACTAGAGAGTGATGAAAAAATGGTTAGTTTTGATATAACTAGTCTTCATAATAATATACCAGTCCATATGGCTTTAGAGGCAGTTAAAAAGAACTAACTGCTGATCCTGAACTCAGTAATAGGACAAAGCTGCCTAATGAAGAAATTAATTTAGGGATTCAGTTATGCCTCACATCTACTATCTTTAAGTTACAAGACAAAATATATAGACAAACAGAAGGTGTAGCAATGGGATCACCAATATCCCCTATTGTAGCAGACATATTTATGGACAGCTGGGAAAATAGTGCCCTCAATACATTTAACCCTACTCCGAAAATATGGTGGAGATATGTGGATGACACTTTCACAGTGTTAAAAACAGAACACATCTCTAGCTTCTTGACACATATAAACTCACAAGTTGAAGGAATAAAATTCACATTTGAATCAGAAAATGAACAAGGAGAATTAGCTATGTTAGATTGTAAGATAAAAAGAAAAGAAGGCAAACTGCACACTAGTGTTTATAGAAAACCAACGCATTCTAATAGATATTTAGATTTTTATTCGTCTCATCCTTTATCTGTTTAGGCAGGCTTAGTTAAATGTTTAACAAACCGAGCAGGGACACTAAGTAGCACAAAAAAAGATCTAAATGATCAACTAAAACAGATAGAAGAGGCTTTGATGTTAAATAACTATCCTTTAAAATTCATTAGGAAGATCAGAAAAGACCAAACGAAAAATAAAAATAATTGTGAAACTATTAATAATAACATAAATAAGAGAGAATATAAGTCATCTACAGTTATACCATATAAAGATTGGACATCTTAAACCCTACGTAGGATTCTAAATAAAGCAGGAATTAGGGTGGCATTTAAACCTATAAACTCACTCAGGGACAAGCTGTGTAGGTTAAGGACCCAGTTGAACCAATTAGACGAAATAATATAATTTACAAGAAACTATGCAATGACTTTGAGGTCAACTACATAGGTCAAACTAGTAGGTCAGGGATAGTCAGATCGCCAGAGCATAAGTTAAGAATGGTTGACCCGAGAAGATAAGTAATTTAGAAAAAAGCTCAGCGATTGCAATGCATGCTATAACACACAACCACACAATATGGTAGATAGGATTCAAATTATAAAAATAAATCTAGATAGGTGAAGAGGGAGGTTGATTACTGAATCCTTGTTCATCGAGTCTACACCAAACACATGCAATAGGAATGACTCGTCACTCATACCTGAAATATGGAAAATACCATCACCAATCAAATCAACGGAAAATCAAGAGGAAAACAATGGAACTATATAAATGAAGCTAGGAAGTCGTGTGATTACCTTGTTATGATTATGAGCAATAAATTGTGCTCGAAACGTCATCAGTAAACATTAGTGTATAACACTGTGAGACTTTATCAAAACAAAAATTTACCCATAATGGAATTATACTCCACCACAATGCACAAGTTTTACTCTTATATCATTGACACTTCAAATTGTAGCAAGCAGGTGATACAATTTTTTCATGCCTGGTGGAAAGAAACTGCTAATTTTGTGTTTATGAGTACGGAGTTTCCATAATATTTCTTTAGAGTCGTACAGAAGGAGTTCTTTCAATTATTACCTCAGCTTGTCATACCTACAATTTTGAAAAGACAATTTCGCATTATTTTTTTATTTTTAATTACAGCTTGATTTCACACTGTATTTTGGTAGAAGCATGGAATTTTCGGCATGGATATCGGCAGCCCAATTTGTGCAGGTTGATCATAGATATCAGGTGTTGATTACCATATCAAATAAGTGTGATGCTGTTTCTCACACAGGTTGCTGTGGCTCTGATTAGCAAATACTGAAATATTTGATTTATCCTTCCCTGTCAATGTAGACATGTTTGATCTTAGAAATACAAGGATATGTAAGTGACTGAAATTAATTATGAGTAGTAATCACGTTTAATTGTTAATTCTGGTAATAACGGAAATTAATGTTTTATTACAAAAGACTACTCAATATTTCAGTTGACTCACGCTCGTCCCCGGCGGCCAAAACAACAAAGTCACTCCAGTTATTAGAAAAGCCATCGATAAGAAAAACAGGACTGTAAAGACTGTTGGTTTAAATCGTCTGATAAAAATGCACAGGATCATTGTGAATACGTCCTTCAAAATGATGAATCCAAGTAAAATATTACTTGGACGTTGGATATTCATTTTGCAACACATAAAAAAGATATTTGCAGACGATAGTGCAATCTGTTGGCAAAGTAAAGGGGACAATTTTCTATTTGTGAGCTTACAATTATACGTTTTACGAATCGCCCAGAATAATGTGAGCTTCTAGTCAGATTGAATCATTCTAAATTATTTGAAAAAATCCAAGCATGTTACAGGAAGATTCAAAACAAGATTTTATGAATATTTCGCTGTGTAAGCCACAGTTTCTTCAACAGAATGGAACAGATTTTATCAACCCTCAAAATATATTGTAGAGAACAACGTAAACTGAAGTCAGTTCATTTGAAGGTCACTTTTTCGTAGATGCTTGAAACAAAAGGAATCCGAAAACGGTCATCACATATTTTTAATCACTAATGTCGAATGGTCATGTATGCCCTTTGTTTGCAAGATTGTGTGTTTGTTATGTGGAAAAAGCGTCAAAATATGCTGATATTTCGTATTGGTTATGATATAGAATTGAAGTTGTTTCCACCCCCTCCTATATTATGTATTACTTCGGTAGAGTCTTACGTAGAGATGATACGTCTATCTCTTCTTTCCTATTTACTGCATTCTATATAGTTGAAATACACACGACTTCACGACTCCATGTGAATGAAATCCTCTTCCTAGAATTTTGACAATGTACAAATCGACCTTATATCCTCTGTCTTTAGCATGCATTGCTATATCTGATGTTTTTTCTAGACTTTTTAATTCTAACGCATTTCTCGTTGGATGTTTCGCGGACAGTTTATGTTAATGGACTTTCACGTGTCTACTGCACTCGCCTTTATGGCAAGCTTTATATTCTGAACACTTAATCTTATTAACGCAATAGTTTTTTGACATTTTTTGAACCATATCTTCGAAACTCATCAAAGCTTTCTCTAGAGAAGTAGAGGGCTTGAAGTAGACTTCAATATTATATGAAGGAAGTAGTCTTTGAAGTTGTTCAGCTGTGTCTTTTTGATACGGAATTTCCATCGTCGATAGCCAAGAATTTTCAATTTTCTCATTTCTCTCATTCTCCTTTTCATATGTTATCCAGTAGCTTTTCTGGATAACCATTTTCAATCAAAATCTGTTTTATTTTGCATATTAAGTTTTCCATATATTGTTTCTATTTTTCTAGCTCCGTTAACAAGATTTAAAAAATACTGAAACTTCCAATACTATTGGACGATCTGATTGTAAATTTAAATACGTGTTGAAATGTGTCGGTTTCTTGTGAATTGTGAACTTCAGTTCCTCGTCATCTGGTTCTTTTACAAAACAATCAAGAAATTTGATATTTCCCCCGTCCGATTCTATTCGATTAGTAAACTCTGTATGTAAAACGTAAAGTAAAACGTTCAGGAAAATCTTGTTTTGGCAATATTCTCCAACACGTCGAGATTACTTGAAATAATTTTTGTGTAAGCATGCATGTCTAATACTTAGGTAAATCAAAATTCTCATAGTGAAATCAGTGCAGGATGATTACAAGTGAACAGTAGCTTTCAACAAATTATTCTTCAGGCTCCACAGTTATAAATTCTCGAATATTATCCTAAAATTAACTATTAAAGACATGTGAAAATGTAATCAAAAACTGTTTCCGTTTGCATATGGAGTGATGGAGTGGATGGAGTGAAAATTCATTATGTGATATTGTCAGATGAACGTGTAGAAAAGTGTGAAGTCATTTGGATCATGAGAAAATGTATGAATAAACAAAAGAGTGACATACTAATGTATTTACAGTCAAAGTACCAACGCGTTAAATAAAAAGACGTCTTGCAGAGTATGAGCTTGATATGGAAACCATTAAGTCATTCACTATTGTCAGCAGAAAAAAAGAACAAGGAATTGCTCTAAAAGGTGATTGGAACTTGTGGAATTAGATTTGACGAAGTCAGTCTGTTTGTACTGAAGGAAATCGTTGTCACCGTGGATCTCCCATGGCAACCAAACTTACTTATTAACTCTTATTGTCATTATTGTTTAATTTTTGGATATGATTTTACAGTTTTATTATTCCTGATTTATTTAAACGAATCCTTTATGAGCGCCATTACCTTAACTCTTTTCACTATTATTGTTTTTTATTATCATTATCACTATTACTAATATAAACGATATTATTCTGTTTGCAATTCTTCTTATGTTCAGGATCTTTTTCTGACAGTGAATTGTTTGTTTGAGTGATGGAATTCTAGGAGTAATGCATTATTATCTTAATTCGAATCCCTTATACTCCCTTACCTTTACCTATCTGAATATGATCTAAAACAAGTTTCAAACCTGTCAGTTTGGACTGAACGTAGTTTACAATTGGTGGATGGTGGCTAGCAGTGGAATCCAGTTGGAGCACTGAGACCGAGCACTTCGGTCCAAACAATCGACAGGAAAATCAAAAATTCAACCAAATAAACGTAGTTTATTTTGCCTATCACTCTCACATCTCCCAATGTGTTATTGTTGATAAATGTAGGTATAAAGTATATTCTTATACGTTATGTGATCGACCAAACCATTACACTACAATTTGGGACACTCATTTAACCTTGCTTATTGAAATTTTGTTACTTGTTTCTACTTATTCAATGTTCGGGAGGATGGCGAAGCAAACACGAAATGACCATGAGGAAATAAAGTTGACTCATAAAATTGATACTAGGAAAAACTTACTGTTATTGCTACCAGGAGCAATACAATTTTCAAATTACTTCTGAATATGAAGAATAGTAATATACAGAGGAACGCAATCACTGCTCTAAAATACAAATAGAAAAATAGCTCCAAAGAGTTATTAATGCTGGAATGAAGTTCCAATGTAAAATACGTCTAATTCTGTCAAGCCGTGTTATTCTATTTTACATTTCGTTATCATATGAAGGACGAACATTGTTAACTGGATGTGCCGCCATGGTGTCACATCCATCATTCATTAATAGTCTAAATCATTACTCAACAAACTCATTTACTGTTAGAATTAGCAGACGTTTTCCCATAATCATAGTGGTTGTAGCACTATTCCAAGTTTGTACTTACACATTAGATTTCATAAGTAATGCTCTGGTTAAAAAATTATTGGTCCAATACTCAGTCTAAGGTTAGTCGGATTCGATTAAGGGATTCTGTGAGAATATTCAATATCTCTTCCACGAGAAAGTATAACTTATTCCATTTCGTCAATTATCGAAGAGTCAATAGTCGGGTTGGTAAATTTTATTACAGCATGCTAATTGCTTGTCAACTAACTTTGAGTACAAAAGGCAGGCCAAATTATCTTTCCAATGCCAAGGAGATTCACGATTTGTTTCAAGAATATCTACTCATGTTCTGGATAACAACAATGGTGATACGCCACTTTTGTTCTGAGATAAGTGTACATTTAAGAAATCCATCGATGTAGATAAATTGACGATGGCACAAGCCACACAAAGTTTAGCACAAACATCAAACACACAAATACCAGTATTGACACAAGTTTGTAGAAGGTTATGAATGCTTCTGAAATAGGCAGTCACTAAGACGATAATCGTAAGCAGTGTACACCGTGTATGAAGAATTCGGAATTCTTACTTCAAACTTAGGTCGAAGTTGACGATGTTGCAGAGAACGACTTTACAATAACCGAGAGTAAAGAACAAACACAAAATTCAAGTCAGTTAACCAAACAAAGTGTGGATGGTCCTGACGAGTGATCATAGCTTATCAACCTTGGTAACGCCACAAATTCAACGTCGGCGGTACGGCGGTTAGGACTCTCGCCCACTATGCACATGATCCGGGGTTCGATCCTCTGCCGATTTGCACATGATATTAATGGTTGGCCTGCTAAATTCGGATTGCCGATATCGCATGCTGAAAATTCCATATATGTACTAAACATCCAGTGTGGAATCAATCTATAATCAAAAAAATTACGTGACAGAAAACTGTCTAAAATCTCGTCTGTCATTCAGCCCAATACATTACTCGACTCTACACCTTCAATTATCACGAGTGAGTGATTTGGTTCAAGAGATTACGATCACCAGCTGACATAGACTAGTTAACTAATGGAGTTAATCTCAAAGATTATGGAAAGTCACACTTACAAGGAAGCGACTTGCGCATAATCCATCCATTCTCCAACAGAAATTTGAGTCATCTGGAAGATAAAGTATTCATCAAATATAATTCATGATTTTGATTACATTAACAGATGACTGATACCGGCGAAATTGAGTAGACTGTCATGACGTAGTGTTCGCGATAGTTACAAACTTGAAAATCCTCAGTTTCGAACAAAAGCAATTTATCTTTATGTCTCAATTTGCAACATGAATATTCGATACGTAACGATTGGCAACATATGCAAGAGATATGGTGTAATGCGCATATTGGAATTTCACATGCTATGAAACTCACATAGTACGAAACATAATAAAGAAACACATGATATACAAATTGTATACAAAATTCAAGAGATTTGGTTTTATATGATTATCGCTTTCTATATCAAGACTTACTAATCCTAAATGCGTAAGTTTACCAGTTCAGTATAACTTAAGGAGGCTTCCACTGAGCCTCAATCACGTGTGTGTACAGTTGAAGTTTCATATATGGCAATATCAACATATATTTACTGCCGAGTCCAATAGTTATGTTGAAAGGTGGAAAGGGTTACGATTCCAATTGTTTGTTGGGAAATCCCATAAATAGGATGCCAAAAGAATGCAGAGAGAAACTTGAAAAGACGTTAAGAAAAATAAACACACATCAAGAGTAGAATTTCTCTGATATGAAGGTCACTGCTGTAGAATCATATCAAGTAATAAACCCCATAAACCATGAAACTATCATATTCGAATGCAAAAAATTGCAGAGAAACAGTGAGAAGTGAATTTCTTACCTGCATGAAAATAGCCATCTTAAGCTAAACTTAATTGGATTAATTTGAAGAAATGCTCAATCAATATGTGAGTATATATTCATCTAACTTTTGAAACTTTGATTCATATTGTTTTACATTTATAGTGGCATGTTTTCTTATTGATAACAAAGTACTAAATCAACATCGAAGTTTTGTTATTTTTGAGAATATCCAAGTCATCAAAAGAATATTAAGTGAACATTTTAAATCATCCCCAAAATTTTCTTACTTTGAACTGTGTGCTGCTACTTGATAAAAACTGGTTACTTCAGAGAGCACTTGAACGTGAAAGAGATGGAAAACTACTGATGATGACTTAACTGTATGGGATGCCTATTTGCATACTCGTCAACGAATTCGGTTTCTATTAGATTTCACTGAAACACTTTGATGAACAGCTCAGTCTACAATCTGTCAGCATCTAGCGACAAAATGAGATTCACTATAGCGTGTGGGTTATTTTAAAGGATATCTCAAAGAGACGTTCACTTGAGTTACACATTACTTATATAGAGTAGAATAAAGACCGTTTGTCAGTTATCGCTCTTCCATGAGGACTAATGAAAAACTTCATTCGTTCTTCACTTTGAATTTGATGACGTAAATGATGAAATCTTCGCAAATAAAGTACCCAGCACAGAGAACACTACTTCATCAAAATCATCCACTTGAGCCAAAAATCTTCTTCATTATGTCTAAGCGTTTTTGAATATAACAGAGAAAATACACGAGGTAGTAGAAATTTAACGAATGCGTTGCATAGGTTCAGTCACAGGTGTGGTTAATATCACTGGAAGTGATCAGTGAACTACGCTTTTCCTTCATTCAGGCAATAGTTTTGACACCTGATGAAACAAAGCCTTGTTTATAATGCGAAAATCGAACTCAAATAACTACTGGATATGCAATCACGCGTATATATATATATATATATATATATATATATATATATATATGTAACTAAGGCAAAATAGCAGTATGCCACTCAGTACTACTTCTCTTATTGGATGTGTAACACAGGGAAGCAGCACTGTTTACTGGACTGCATTTCTAACAAATTCATTACTCATAATCATATCAGTTATCCATACACAAATTCGAAACTTTCTTTTCGGAGTTTATTTGTTTCCTTCCTCGTCGTTGTAAGTTTTAAAATGTTTTCCAGATGTCCAAGAATGGTGATTAGTCATGTTGTTCGCACATATTGTCGCTTGATTAGATAAATAAGGCTTCCGTTTTCGGTTTCTGTCTTCACTCTGATATTTCAGATTTTAGAACTATGTTCCTATCGCATCGTGCGTCGGTGGTATAGCGATTAGGACGTTCGCCGACCATGCATATGGTCCGGGGTTCGACCCCCGCCCGCCGCACTCCTTTACCTCACTAAGCCAGAAATAATGCTGGTATAGAGGAAAGGTTGGGCATGAGGCTAGCAACCCCATCCTGTAAAAATTAAACACTGCTACAGAAACTTCAAGCCACTAGCTTGGAGCCCTATGTTCCACTGGGAACGTGAAGGAAAAATTATTATTATTATTATCGCATAATGGTGCAAAGTTGCCTGTAATTTCAAGTAATGCTTCAGTTGAACTATTTCCCAGAATGCTTATCTTATTATTATCAGACATTTTACTGCTGTCTTGGCTTTTGTATTTTGTTAGTTTGTTTAACAACGTCATGCTGATTCGATCCATGTACTTGACGTGGCAATTATTTCAGCGTATATGACAAAATAAATTGACCATTTTCAGTCAATTCATTCATTTAGCTGTACAATCGAAACTGTATATAATCTGGTGGTTTGATTGTTATAAGCTTGTTGGACATCGGATGACCTTGGCGGCCTGTTTGAACATTTTGTGACACTGTATTTCATGTACGTTTTGCATATATTTAGTCATATTTTATTCGTGTTTACATATGAAATCGTACATGCTTATCGTATTATTCACTCCCAGGATTTTAAAAAGCGTTTAAAACCCAAAAACTTTCATATTTGCAATAAACTCAACAAAAGGTACCATGGTGGTTGGCAAGTGCTTTAAAATCTACGCCAATACATCACACCAATGTTACGGGTATCATTAGTACCAACTGCCAATCTTCACCTGACAAAATTCTGGATTTTCAGTCCCTGTTGTCGTCCGGAATTTACCACAATACTGGTATAGTCACTTTACAAGAAACCTGGCTCCATGACTTATATAATGACAATATATTGTCTCTAAAGTATTTTAATTTAATCCGACAAGACCGTGTTTGTTCCAAGAAAAAAAGTGGCGGAGGTGTTGCAACTTTTATTCTAACAAAGATTGTTTCAAATTCTGGAATGAATACATTGATTGCATCACTGTGAGATGTCGCCCGAAACACCTGTCAAAATACAAATTCACTAATATTTCTAATGTTCATGTCTCTCCTGGCTGTACCGTATCGAATTTATCCATGTTCGGTTATGAATTCACCGCTTTCGCTGTAGCTGGCTTCGAGAACTCTTTATCAATAGTAACTGGTGATTTTAATTCATGCGATCACTTCTTCCTTATATCACTTGATCATACAATATTGTTAAGTTTGCTACTCGTCTTGGTAAAACACTGGATCTAGTATTTATTAATGATGTTGGTATATATGCAGCTCGCAAACGTGCTCCCTTACTTAACTCTGACCACCGAATCAAACGTCTACTGCATAAAATATATTTCAAGTCCCACAAATGTGTCCTCTCTCACCTCTACAGTAAAGTTCAACGGATATGCTACTCACAAGACAACCTAGACAGGCTCAGATAGATGTTGGAAGACACTAACTGGGACTTATTCATAGAACAAACATCAGATGCTACAATCAAAAACACTACTGATTACCTTCAATTCTGTTTCGAAATATGTTGTCCTAAAGAAACATTATTCATTCGATTTGCCTGTTTCTGTTCTCCATATCTCAAAAAGATACGTAGAGATAAAGAATTGTTGTTCAAAACAAATGATAAGCCTGGTGTAAAAAAGTTAAACATTCTGATAAAACTCGAAATGAGAAGACTAAATGTTTTATATAATCAAAGACTTTTGTCATGTAAAACCCCTCCTAATATGTGAAAACTTTTCAAGGAAATTACTAGCGGTAAGCGAAGTACTTCTCTTTCATCTCTTAATATCGACACTCTTAATAAGTCTTTCATATGCTCCTCTGTCGTTATCCTTCCTAATGATAAAAATCATACTGGTAATAATTTTAGTGGTTTTAATACCCTTGATGTGCTTAAATGTCTCCGGTATCTTAAGCTTTCTCAAAGCCTTGGTCCTGACAGCATACCTGCCATTGTCCTCAGAAAATTTGCTGATATTTTGTGTTATCCTCTTACTAACATTTTAAATGCTTCTTTTTCCGGTGACGTTCTACCTTTTGCATGGAAAAACATTAAAGTTATCCCCGTACCAAAACCATCTTCTGGTTCTGATATTAAATTTCGGCCTATTGTAATTACTTCCCCCTTTTTAAAATTGATGGAAAAATTACTTTTACTTCGTCTTGAACCCGCTTTGAAACCTTTCAATGATCCTAAACAATTTGCATACAAACATGGTAGAAGTACCTTGGATGCTGCGGTTGTCATATATCACAATGTTGTTTCTTGTCTAGACAAAAGTGCTAAATATGTTCGTAGTGCTTTCTTAGACAACACATCTGCTTTTGACTCTGTACCTAGGGGCCCTGTATTAAATAAGCCATCATTGACACAAACAGGATCTTGGGGTAAGAGTTGGTTGCATTCCTATTTTTCTGATAGAATGCAGTATACTGTATATAATGGCAAATCTTCATCTACGTCGCTTACAAAATCTGGTGTTCCACAAGGTGCTGTCCTTTCTCCTCTTCTTTTTTCTTTCTTCCCACACAGCCTGCCTTATTCAAACGAAACTAAATATGTCAAATATGCGGATGATCTGAATGTATCACTGCCTATCACTTCCGAGTCTGACAGCTCCAAACTTAATAGCTTTCTGTTGAACATCAACAAGTGGTCCAAGTCAAATGGTCCTATGTTAAATCCTTCCAAATTTCATGCAGTCAACTAAACTTTCAAGCACTGACGTGACTTACATGAACTAGTTAGTTCGCATGATGCCCGTGGCATAGATGGCACGGAAATTGAAACCAAATCAAGCATTAAATACCTTGGATTAGTTCTTTCTTCTGACCTTTCA